GAAGTTACTGTTGAATTTTGAGAGGGGTGGAAATGGAATAGGATATGGGTGTTTACTTTCTTTGTGTGCAGTTCAGTTTTACATCTTTATATAGGACTTTCAAACTCAATTTGCAGATGTTATACTGAGTAGTGTGGTGAAGCTGGGGGCGGAAACGGTGGGTAAGTATCTACCGGGCTACATAGTGTCACAGCCCAGAAGACGACAGACCTAGTAACCTTTGCCGTGAGAACCCCCAAACCAGCATCTCAGCAGTATGTAAACGAGAGCGTTGGGACTGCTTTCCAAGTTTCAGTTCAGCGGCCACAAAATGTAACTCTGTCATAATCCAGTATACAGACTTAATCTCTTGTAATGAAATCTCGGGGCGATCAGCCATACTCACGAGTGGCAGCATCCGAAAACTTGGAAATTCACTCTGTATTGACACGGCTGATCCCCTGGGAACGCCTCATCACATTTAGTCGCCGTGAGAACAGCTTGGTTTTATGAATGAATCCTTCTGCGTGGAGCCGGAATAGTTCAGTCGGTATAGCGACCACGCTACGGGTTTTACTGTCGAAAAATCGGTGTCTGATCCTCAGAAGGGTTAAGGGATTTTCCTGTTCGCCGCAGCGTCCATACCGGCTCTGGGGCCTACCCAGCATCCTATACAATGGATACTGGGGGCTGACCGCGTATTTCCATATAGTGTCTTGGTCAAGAATGGTGGAACTGTATCTCCACTCCCCAGTACTTCATGGCGTGGTTGTTAATTGGGCTCAGGAATAATTTTACCTTACTGTGCACGCCTCTGTGGTCTAGTGGTCGGAGTTTCTGGCTACAGATCCAGAGGTCCCGGGTTTGAGTCTGCCGCTACCAGATTTTCTGAGAAGTGGTGGGCCTGGAATGGCGTGCACTCAGCCTCGTGACGAAAACTGAGGAGCTACTTGAATGGAAAAGTAGCGGCTCCGATCTAGAAAACTGAAATTAACGGCCGTGGTGATCCGTTGCGCTGACTCCGCGACACACTATCCGCAAAAAAGTTGACACTAACTTCGCCGATAAGCGGCGGTCGCTCAGTCGGTGTAGTTCACTTGCGGACTGCCGGCCACGGAGTTTTTGTTTTGTTTTGTGCAGTTAATATTCAAAGGCCATATTTTATAACCTAGAATTTTTTTCAGCGTTGTTACGAACTGACGTGAAGGGGCGGTTGAGAAGAACGCGAGCTTTGCTGACCAATATGAACAGTGCGCGAATAGGTGCGGTCTTGTGTGTTGTGCATTACACAATATGGACACTTTCCTTTCGCTTTTGTCAGTCCCTCTCTCTTAAAAGAGGTGGGGGAACTGCCTTCCACTACTGAGAGGACAGCAGAAACTTGTTATTTATTAGAGTTAGCAGTAGGGAAGACCGCAACCTGTAACGTGTACTCACATAACATATACATACACGCACTATTCATACACCATTCCAACTTAAAACCCTCTGTATATAGTTAGATATTTCAGAAAAATGACAATAATAATTTTAAATAAGCTCTATTAATTTTAGGGGAGCACGCGGTAGCGTAGTTGGTTGAGGCATTATGCTGCAAGTCGGAAGGTCGCGGGCTCAAGTCCTGACGAGGTGAGTTTTTTTTCAATGTACCAAATCCTTCCAGCCGCACTATGGCCCTGGTGTCGACTCAGCCTCTAACAGAAATGAGTACCAGCAATCTTCCGGGGGGATAAAGGCAGGCTGGCGCGTAAGGCTGACAGTCTTGCAGCCATCTGTGACCCAGTTGTCTAGAAAATGTGGGAATCTTGGCGTCTCACAACCCTGTGGGCCTCCACGGCCTGTTACAGGCGATAGCTTTACATTTTACCTTGTGTGTATGTTTGGACTAGTAACCGTAAGTGAAACCAAACAGTGATTTTTATTTAGGTGACCTGGGTCGGTTAGCAACTAAGTAAATTCCTAATTCGGAAACTGCTTTGTGGTCGTCGTATTTTAAAGTTAGGAAGAAGACGAAGATAAGCAGACGTAACTAAAATTGTAAGGAAGAAATTTCGAAATAAATGAAAATAGGTCTACACAAATAAACAGGATAAATTGAAAGACACAAAAACACAGAGAAAGTAAGGAGTGTAGTAAGCAAACGAAAGTAGAAGACTGGAAGAGATAATGAGAGGGATGTTTGTGATGCACAGTGAACCTGCATTTCGAAACAAATGCTTCCCCCCCCCACCACCACCACGTCAGGCTTGTTTCAGATGACCCTGTGTTATGTAATTTCCGTGAGCACGCAGGTGTCCAGGGTATACGTGACATGCGGTTACTGAAAAAAAAAAATTCTCTAAAGCTCGAATTATCGGGCCGCGTTGTAATTTTCAGTAACAGAGAAACCCATTCCAATTCCCACTCAACGGACGGAAGTGCACCTGGAAGCAGTTTGTGATAGTAATGAATGGGGCTAGAACACATTTCATTCGTGGCAGGTAAGACCACTCACTGCCTTGTAGGGGCCCTGGGAGTACTGGAAGGGAAGCCAGCTGTTTCCTTCCCCACGTACATGTGACGCAATCAGCTGTTCACGAGGTCGGTAGCACTCTCGGAACATGACCTAGGAGAACAATAGATCTGCACATTTTGGCATGCAAACCCACCCCATCTCTTATAGTTTGGTGTTAAGTGCCTTTTGCTTTGGGTTTAATTTGTAAATGCTCCCCGTGCCAGACGTCTGCATTGTGAAAATGTAAGGGAACATAGGTCGTCAGTACGTTCAAGATCTCCACGATAGATGGAGACAGTGGTTATTTTTCCGCTCCAACCACTTCGTTTTCATTATTATAGTTTACGAGGGGTGTGTATGTGCGTTGAAATATGAATAGGAGAATGTGAAAGGAAGTGGCTATGGGCGCCACCTGGACTTTTCCGGGAAGGGGGTGGGGGCAGCCAGAAAATTTTGAAAAAAAAAAAAATTAAAATTTTGCCGATTTCCCTGCAGTATTCAGGACGAATATTTTTAAATACTTCTAACTATCGGGGGCACGCGGTAGCGTAGTTGGTTGAGGCATTATGCTACAAGCCGGAAGGTCGAATCCCGATGAGGTGGATTTTTCAATTTACCTAATCCTTCCAGCCACACTATAGCCCAGGGGTCGACTCAGCCTCTTAACAGAAATGAGTACCAGGAACCCTCCTGGTGAGTAAAGAGCGGCCGGCGCGTAAGGCTGACAACTTTACCGCCATCTGTGAGTCGATTGTCCGGATAATGTGGGAACCTCAACATCTCACAACCCTATGGGCCTCCACGGCCTGTTTCAAGAATACTTTTACTTACTTACTTTACTTTTAATTATTTTTGTTAATATTATATATATATTTTTTTCTTCAATTTTGATTCACTTTTTCAAAAGTCGCGGGGAGGGGCAGGTCTCAGGCTTTCCCCCTTTCCCATGGGAAGTGAACCTGGCCAGATATCAATATATCGCAGATTTGTATTTTTTTTTAATCCAAATATTAAGTAAAGTGTTGTGGTGGAAATATGTTAGCCAAATATGCTGCTGCTTGAATAGCTGTTTGGCTGATATTTGATGCTAGGCTGATTGGGAGAACCATTCTGCGTTATGGCTGTTCTGCTGTAATATAATGTTCTTTCTGGGGCATTCTTCGTTTTGTTTTTCTCACAAGATGATTTCTTTTTGAGCTGACCACACTCTCAGGCCTTGCTGTTGTGCCACTCACCAACAGAGGTTACTGCCCTGGGTATATCCTTTTTCAGAGTAAGTCCGCGATTTAGTTGTGTCAGCAACACTGACGTTATAATAGAACGATAGACGACCTTGTCATGTAATAAGCCTACTTATGAAATGCAAAGCCTTGTAGAGGAAGTTTTATTGTTTTATGTTAGCTGCTATAAGAAGCCTCCGGACGCTGTATTTGGTGGTGCTGGATTATAGTAACTAATACAAACATTGTTTAGTTATTTATATATGAGGATCTTCCAGAAAGTAAAGACCGTTAGCACGCGTGCGCTACTTGATTGGGACATTTTTTTTTTCCCATCTTCCCTACAGTCCGGACGTGGCTCCAAGTGATCTTCACTTGTTCGCACACTTGAAGCAGTTATTGGGCGACGCACGCATGCGTAGCGATAAAGAAACGTAGAAGACAGATTCAGTGGACTGAACTGGCGGCAGATTTTTACGATGCAGGCATGTAGAAAGTCGTCACCCGATACAAGTGACAGAACCTTCATGGGGATTGTGCAGAAAAATAATTTTTCATTTATTTTTCTTGATCACCAGACGGTCTTTACTTTTTTGAGCGACCCACATATTAATATAAGCGACCGGAATTCCAAATTGACGTTGTTGCAGATATGGGAGCAAGTAATGTATGCTCCAACTCAGTTTTAATACTGACTGAAATGATTCTTTGCTTTAAAATCAATATCCTGTACTTGCATTTTCCTTTGACATTTCATTTATGAAACTGATATTTTTGTATTTTGTATTTGAATCAGCATAGAGTTCATCCTATGATAGTCTGACTTCAAGAACAATCACTGTTGTTTGGCTCACTTTGCTAACATTTTAAACTAATTTGGGAAGTATTATTGTTTCAAACAACAAACTCCGTGGTTTTATTAGTCAGCAAGCGAACTATACCGACCGGGCGACCGCCGCTTGTCGGCGAAGTTAGTGCCAACTTTAGCGGATAGAGGTCGTAGCGTGGTCAGCGCAACGAATCCCCACGGCCGTTAATTTCGGTTTTCTAGACCGGAGCCGCTATTTTCTTGAAATAGCTCCTCAGTTATCCTAACGAGACTGAGTGCACCCCGTTCCAGACCCACTACTTTTCAGAAAATCTGGTAGCGCCGGGAATCGGACCCGGACCTCTGGATCTGTAGCCAGGTACACTGATCACTAGGCCACAGAGGCGGTGTATGATTGTTTCATAAATTATAAATTTATATTCAGTGTTGGTATTTGAACATAGCCTAACACTTTGTTTCTGTTTCTGTGTGTTTGCAGACTCATATGCTGTTCATAGATGCGTTTCTTCAGAACAACCGTTTAGATCACGTTACCCAGGTCATGGGCTATCATCCCACTTACCTGGACATCTTCCTGCGCACGCAGAACTTCATTCTTCGGGGCGATGGACCTCTACCATATGATTACCGTCATTTCATTGCAATCATGGTAAGGCTTTTCTGACAGTAAGGATTATATTCTATTTATGTCTTTCTTTCAGACAGAAGTAGCAAGGTATGTATGAGAGAAATTAGGCCATAACCATGCTATGGTACTTGAACTATATCTGGCACCAGAGATCAAATTGCAGATGGATGTTCCTGTTTGCTCTCCTGTTTGGTTGCTGAACATGCTACGGCTATACCAGGCACTATGATACAAGCAAGAAGGTGGCGGGTTCGTGTCCCAATGAGGTGGATTTTTTTTTTCAATTTACCTAATCCTTCCAGCCACACTATGGCCCAGGTTTCTACCAGCCTCTAACAGATATGAGTACCAGGAATCTTCCTGGGGCTAAAGTTTGGCCAGCGCGTAAGGCTGACAACCTTACCTCCGTCTCTGAGCCGTGTGTCCACGTCTCACAACCCTATGGGCCTTCACGGCCTGTTACAGAGAGAGCTTTACGTTATACCAGGGTCCCTGATATGTCCAACACAGTGTAATTATTTGAAGACATTGTTTTAACTGTGTGGATTGTTTAGCATCAAATTAAATTGATAGATGAACATGAATTTTTGTTAGGAAACGATATGGAAGGAGGTGTTCATGATTTATTTCTAGGTACTATTCTTGCATTTGTCTGTAGAGATGGGGGTGGGACCCACAAATCTCTAGGTAACCTGGTGCAGATCTGAAATGGGTAACTTCCATATACAAGTCTACAGTTTTATCAGTACACTGAGCTTGTTTATTTTATGATTATTTCAGAGTTTTAAATTTCTTATTATAATTTCCATCTCTCTGTGTAACATGGTTTTGACACTGAAGAGGTCATTTCTGTTCTTCGTCTTTCTATCTGTCAGCAGTTGGTTACTTAGCTCAAATGAATTTGGTCAATTATTATCTCTTGATTGCCATATCCTGGTAAAATAATCCTTCTGTCTGCTTCGTACAAAGCTTTGCTGCTGACAGTATAGAAGTGAAGGTATTTGCTTTGTAGCTAAAGCGATGAGTAACGTTCATGCATAATTATGAAACAATGCAGAAGTGACGGTATGCATAATAACGAACGCAGAACTTGGAGTGTGAATCAGGAGTGTGCTGAATATTGAAACTGACACGGTAAACATGTCTTTGAAATAACGAAGTAGAAGTCTGACCAGTTTGTATAATTGTTTGCTTGAGTTCCACAGTGTACTGAGTAACAGCAAGGGATATGAAGATTCCCATGATTGTACTACTATATTTCAGTCTGCCGCCACAGTTGGTCTCCTCCCATGCCCTTCCCCTCCACTCACTCACAAGCACTAACACAACTGTTGTTATGTCATTCCTTGAGAGTTCCAATACGAAATTTCACAGTCAAGCTGTGATAAAGTATAGTCGTTTTGTTTTTATTTATATTTAATTCTGAAACTGTTTGGGAACAGGATGCTGAAGAGAATACTTCAACGTAAGAGGAGGTAATGGGCAGCTGGAGAAAATTAAATAATGAACAGCATCATAATTCATATTCTACACCATATAATAATAAGTCTGAAATTAACGATAATGTGGGTGGAACATGTAACACATGAGAGGCCGCGCCATAGCTCAAGCGGTTAGTTGCTGGCTTCCCACTGAGGCGGCCCGGGTTCGATCCCTGGTCTGGTCAAGTGGGATTTGTGCTGGACAAAGTGGCGCTGGGGTGGGTTTTCTCCAAGCACTTCTGTTTCCCCTGCCAATCTTCATTCCACCAAATTCTCCAGAATCATAATCACCCAGGGCAGGTACAATAGACCAATAAGTGGCCGCCATGCTGAGTGGACCCAGCTGGATTCCACCCCCCACTAAGTGAAACACATGAGGAATATGAAATAGTTGTAGGAGAACCTGAAGGGAAGAGATCACTTGAAAGACAAAATGTAGATGGGAGACCAATGTTAAAATACATATTAAAGAAAAAATTCATGAAGATGTGGACTGGACTGATCTGCCTGAGGATGTGATCAGTCATGGACTTTTATGAAGACAGTAATGAGCCTTGGGTCTTTTCTAGACGGTAAATTTCTGGACCAGTTGAATAACTGACAGCTTCTCAAAAGGAGTCTTCTCTGAAAAGACAGTTTTGTTTCTTCAGACAGTTCTGATTCATCCTACTTTGTGTGCAAATATGACTGAAAAATTTTTGTGTTCCTGGAATAGGTTTATATTGAAATGTACAAAATTATTTTACTCACTGCATTTGTGCTTTGATTAGTATTTTTTACTTTTCTGAATACAAAGATTTCTTGAGTATTATATTGAAGTGACACATTTTTCATAATGTAATTACAAAATGTTAGTATGTCTCTCTACACTCATGTCTGGGCACCATCAGGTTCTTGGGTGTCTAATAACTAGAATGTGAACCTTATTCATTGTTGAGCTTAATCTCCATATTTCTTTATGGCATGATGTTTAAGCACAAGAAAAACCATAACTCTTACGTTACATAAAGGATATTTGATATTGGAAAGTGAGTGTGTTCTAGAACCAGTAACTGAAATGGAAAAGTAAGGAGATCTCTGGGCAATTGCTAATCACTTGATGGCAGGATGGTTTCACTTTCCTCAACAGAGTTGTGCTTGCAGAATTAATATAGTACACATACTGACTGGTTGTAAGAAGGCGTACTATTAGTATTTGGGATTGCATTTTAACTCTTCATGTTGTAGGCTGCAGGCCGACACCAGTGCAGCTACTTGATCAACCTCCAGAAACAGGAGTTCTTGCTGCAAGGTGGAGACCACACTTGGCTCAAAGGGTTGTCACGTATCCCTCAGAAGCTACGAGACCTGTATGACATCAACAAGATCCTTGCACATCGGCCTTGGCTTCTCAACAAGTCTCACATCGAGGTACACAGAGTAGTAATACATAGGATTGAGTCATGGAAGTGACAGTTCAGAACCACACTACTGGCAGCTATGTATTTCAAACTGTTTGAGAATTCAAATAATAGATAATAGATGCTGTGTAGTGGGAGTTGCATTATATCTGTCTGGGTTTTGAAACTTGGTCTTTGACATTAAGGGAGGAGCACAGGCTGAGGGCATTTGAGGGGAATATTAGGACTGAAGAGGGATGAAGTGACAGGAGGTTGGAGAAAACTGCATAATGAATAGCTTCATAACTTGTACTCTTCTCCAAGTATAATTAGAATGATCAAGTCAAGGAGGATGAGGTGGGCAGGGAATTTAGTATGAATGGGCCGAAGAGGAATGCATATAGGATTTTGGTTGGAAAGTCAGAAGAGACCACTAGGAAGACCTAGACATAGGTAGGTAAATAATATTAAAATGGATCTTAGAGATATAAAATGGGGTGGTATGGACTTGATTGATCTGGCTCAGGATAGGGACCACTGGGCAGCTTTTGTGAACATGGTAATAAACCTTGGAGTTCCAAAAAATGTTGGGAAATTCTTGAGTAGTTCCCAAAACTGGTGGCTTCTCAAGAAAGGCTCAGCTCCAGGGAGTTAGACTTCGAGACATGGACATTCTACATTTAGTTTTTTCAGGATTCTTCATTTTGCTTCTAGCTCATTTCATAATTCTTTTTATTATCTGCTCCTTTGAATATCAGTGCAGTATTTGTGAGAATTTGAATGTATTATTGAAACTATGATTCTAATTTTTGCAGAAGTTGACTAAAGGGAAGGATAGCTGGTCGCTTGCTGAGGTGGTTCACGCTATTGTTCTACTGGCTCACTTCCACTCACTCTCAAGCTTTGTGTTCGGATGTGGAGTGAATGAGGAGTTGGACCAGGATGGAGGCCACCATAATGGCTCCTCTGATTCTGCCCCCCCACTCGGTTCTTCGCCACGATCTGTACCTAGCCCAACTCCACTCAGCACTGGCCCGTCAAATAGGGATGGTAAGTCTTTATGTCCAATTGATGAGTGACGTATGCTCTCAAGTTAGATTATGTATTTGGGTAGAGGTTACTTTTAGACATTGAAGAAAATACACATGTCTTGATATCTGCTGTGCTTGTTACAGCTGAGCCATGGCTGGCATCGATGTCACCAGTGGAACAGGAGGTTGGTGTAGACATGTTGATGCAGCGTATGAAGAGCTTGTCAGAGAGAGCAGAGGAATTCTCACAAGAAGAGAAAACTAAGAGGTTTGAACACGTTGAGAACCAGAGTGTAGAACTATCACCAGGCCTTGAGCCACTAACACAGCTCAAAGCAGATATAGGTCACTTCGTAGATGACCCTACTTTTTTGTACCAAGACTTTGCTCGACGTGGTGAAGTCTCTGACATCCCCACCTTCAGGGTGCAGGTTAGTAGTTGTCTTCATTGTTTGTGTATGTTATAGTATCTTTTTTTCTGAGTAGGAATGATGTGGTATATACACAGTAAGGGTATCATGTGCTACAGGTATGGGATCTATTATCCAAGAAGCATGAGACAAGAGCTGACATGGATTTCTGGATTTTTCCAGATTTCTGATTGTAGGCTGTGTGTGGTAGATGTACCTACCACAAATCCTGCATTTAATCATGTCATAGAAACACTTACCTAGAATTCATAAGCAACTTAACCTTCATCTTCATATACAGTGCAAAATTCTTTCTTTTAGCCTGTCTGCTATCCACTGAACTTCCTACTGGCCTTTTGTACATGTCTTTCATAAAGAAAAAAGAAGGAAAATAATGACAAAAATCATGGAAAAACAAGTTGGTTGTTTAGCAGGCATCTTATTCATTGCCATCACCTTATCCTTAAAAAAATTTCTGGTTGTGGATATGAGGCACTGTACCTGTATTTGTTTTGTACATCATATAAATTAAGATGTTAACTACTCAGGACTGCAATTTCATTTCTTGACTGGATGAAGTGTTTTCATACTCTTATGCATGAAGTAGTGATGTTTCCAGGTATAAGACAGGTTGTTACCACTGATTTAACAACTGAGAAAAGTGGTTGATAATATAATTATGACCCAAACAAAGTACTGCACTAGAATGAACATGTATCATTAATAATATAAAGTGGGCCTCTACAATGTTTTTTTTTAACAGGAGAATTTTCGATTCATAACAAGACAGACTATAGGTAGCTAATACTAACTTCATAAATGAATAATTAGTAATTGGAGAAATTTAGGAAAACTTGTTTCTTGTACAAATTTAAGTTTGTGGTAGAGTCACCTTATATTCTGGCATGTGCTTGCATTAACACATGCCAGTCATACATGCATGTTGATAATTGAGGATTCTAAGAGGTAATAAAAAAATGGCCTGTTTATCACATACCATTCAGCAGTCATATTGTTTTCACAAAATATGAGACATGGCTGTTATTTATAGTCTCTTGTGACATAACTTCACACACCTCTCTCTTGTATTTTCAGGATTACTCATGGGATGATCACGGATACTCACTAGTCAATAGGTTATATAATGATGTTGGTAACTTGCTGGATGAAAAATTCAAGACTGCATATAACCTTACATATTACACTATGGGTGGACGTAAAGATGTGGATACGTCACGTTTCCGACGTGCCATTTGGAACTACATACAGTGCATGTTTGGTATTAGGTAAGCATGTTTCAGTATGTTGTAAACTTTCATTGCAGTGAAACCTCATGGAATGAAATGAAAGTGATATGCTGTATATCCATACATAATGTTAATAATAACTTCCTTTGTAAATGGTTCACAACATTCCAGAATTATATCATGTGTAAATTCCAGCTGTTTTTTTTTAAGGGTCTGTCTATACACCTGATTTTCACAGTGGTCGTGTGGTCTAAGGCATGACCTGTCTTTGCTCACTCGAATGCTGGGATCATGGGTTTGAATCTCACTCAAGCCATGGATATTTGTGTGTGTTTATTCTGTATGTAGGTAGAGGCCTTGCGACAGGCTGATCACCTGTGCAAGGAGTTCTACCAACTGTGCAGTCAGAGTTTTGTCTATTTTCTTCTTGGTGATAATACAGTTATTGTGTAAATATACTTGCATTGTAACATATAATATTGTAACATGGATGGACTCAACAGGAAGTAGGAGTCACGTGAACTCTGCGTTTCCACAAGTGACGTCATGTACCCCCACTCCTCCCATCATTATGCAACCCTCGGTAAATACCCCTCCCCACTAGGCTGTGACGTCACGCAACAGGCGAGTCCGTGCAGTGACTATTGCTAGGCAATGCATAGGTAGAAACACCTGACAACAGTACCTGATATCTGTTGCCAAGCAGCAGTGTGTTCTCTATGTTTGTCCGTGCTGAGCCTAAATAATGAGCAGCGAACACTATTCAGGAGTAGTGAGTACTGAGTTACTAGAGAGAGAGTTACTAGTAACCAGTATGAATTGAAGTCGGGCAGCTGCGAGTTGAGTTGTATTGAGTGCATTGCGGGGACTCCAGCAGGAGAAATAATATGTTACTGCCGATGGCAATAATTGAGGAATTGTGAATTGTGTAACTGTAAGAGCAAGTGGAATAAATTCACTAGATCAAAAATGGCGTGAAGTTAGTCGCATGACATATACCTAACACGTGACAATATGTATGATTGTTTTTTTGAAGGCATGATGATTATGACTATGGTGAAGTGAACCAATTGCTGGAGCGTTCACTGAAGGCGTTTATCAAATCTGCATGCTGTTACCCAGAGAGAGTTACAAAGAAAGACTACGATCGTGTTCTTCGGGAGTTCAGGCATAGTGAGAAGGTAAGAAATTGATTACAGAAGCTGACTTTATTAGATGCAGTTTGAGCCACCAAATGCAGGCTTCAGTTCTGACCTGCTACAGGCATTCATTTGTTAATAAGAGAAACCAATTTTGTGATATATATGTGGTCTTGATATTTATGTGAAAGCAAATAAAGAATACAGCTTTTGAGTAATCATATTCAAGTGAGTCCATTCATAAGCCATTGAGTTAATACAGTTACATGTTGACTTTTCTTATGTTCCAAGATGGTTTGACTTGCTACTGGAAGATAAACTCTTTCTGTCCCAATCTGCGCATGATATATACACTGATCAGTTATTGTATCATTGGCTGTGTTAGGTGTGTGATGATTTGACACAAATGTGGCAGAGTGGGTGAAATATGATTATGTCTGTAGCATGGTCAACACAGTGAAATAATTAATTAATTTTTCCATTGAAAACATGGCAGATATTTTTGCTGTAAACACTTTCATGTCCCTTCTCATAGAGCCTTAGTTTAACTGTCCTCTTTCCCAGCTTTTAGAGCCCAGATACAGTAACCTGACAGTATGCCTTCTTCTGATAAAAAGCATAGCACCATTACAGAACTTTGTACTGTGTTATTTCTTCTTGAACATTAGTTACAATTTTGTAACTGTTTTCTATGTTATTTTAGGAAGACCATTGCCATATCCATGGTACACTGCCCAGTTTTGGTGCTGATAATTGATCTTATGGTTAGAGTTACATATTATCTTTGGACATCTTATGCTTAAAGTACGGTTTTATAAAGATAACAGTATTTTTTCTATGTTTGCAGGTACATGTGAACCTTATGGTACTAGAGGCACGCATGCAGGCTGAGTTGCTGTATGCATTGCGTGCCATAATGCGTTACATGACGTAGGCAGGTTAGCTACCATTAGAGTCCATGTGGTGCAGCCAGAACTTATACTTGCTGGTGTTGATGCAATCGTTTGAGTGAGGTGCTGTGTGGGTTTAAGGAGATGAGACTGGCACAGAGAAGGGAGAAACTGAGATGACTCAAAAGATGGAGGAAACATTTCTACTATTACAATAATTAATTAATCAAATTATCATATATAAATTGACTTAGATGAAACTATAAATGTACTATACAAAGAGAGTAAGTTTGAAAGCAAAATATCAGATCTAGCCACTTAATGTTTTTTTCCCTTTTTCCCCTGCATAGTTTTGGTAAGATCAGGTGCAGAAGCATTTGTAATGGGGATAGTCATACATTATGTAACTTCCCCAACCATCTACCCTTCTCCCCCAGTTACCTCCCCTCCCCCTCCCATCTCCATTTATCCTTGTCATATTTACTGCACCGCACAAAAGAAGTACATAAATCTACACATGATTGACTGTGATCCATTCTCAGTAGATAAACTAATTACTTGTGCATAACTGTTCCCATTCCATTTAAGCCCAAATCTCTGGTTTTTTAAATGCTTTACTACTTTTAAATTCCAAAGCTTATGCATGTTTAGTTGTTACTTACTATGTTGTCACAGGAAATGTAAGCCTCTTGGCTTGAGTAGTATTCCTCTGAACATGGTTGATACTTGTGATTATAACCAGTGGTGACTGGTTCTGAGGAGAACCAGCCATTTAATATCTGTAGGTGTCAAGAGGTGTTCATGTTAACATAAAGTAGTTTTAGGTGAGCAGTAAATGTATAGCATTGTATGATGGTATTTTGAAGAACCTACAAATCTAGAAATTTGGGCTTATATTGGGATAGTTTTGTTTTTGTAAAGAAAATGTTTTTTTTATGTGCAAAGTTTTCAAGGCTTCTTAGGTTAAAGTGGTCTAGCTTTTAAGTAAAGTTTAAATTACAAAAGTAAAAAGAGAAAATAATTGCACATGATAGCATCTTGACTGGAAAATAAATTGGTTTACATTGGGTTATAATTGGAGACAGAAGAAAGTTGCATAATAATAATAATAATAATAATAATAATAATAATAATAATAATAATAATGCTTCACCGAAGCTTTTTATTTGAATACAGTAGAATTATTTCATTAACTGGCATTGTAGTTGAAGATTGTGAAGGCTTCCTTCTTCTGTCCTAGGAATTTTTGAATCACTGGAAAGTGAACAGATATGTTGTCATTCACCAGACTGAAATAAGTTTGCCAAGGATAGAGGGAATGTTGAGATTTGCTTACATGATCATGATGATGATGATGATGATTATGATAATGATAATGGTTTTGTGTTTCATGTTGTTGGATGAATGATTTCACTTCAGCGTGGAGGAATTTGTAAATGTAGACTAACAATCAGCTTGTTTTATCTAAGATCTCTGTTGTATGAATTTGCTTAACTTCTCTTACTGTGAAACAAATTACTAATTGACCCTTAGCCACATCATTTCAGTTCTTCATTGTCTGGTTTTATGTCGTTACATTTCTTGAACAATGTATTGGGTAACTCATCCCTATAATAATTTACCATGAACATGTTCCAGTTGGTGAACAGTATGTGGGATAACTGACCCCTATAAAAATTGCCTGTGAACATGTACTAATTGTTAATAACCTTAGAAGTCTTGGAGACTTGAAACACATATGCTCCTGTTTGATTTCTGTTTGAAGAGTGAGGCTTTTTAGAACATGTTACAGTATGACCTCGTGTTGACTGTGGTTTAGAAGACTACCGCTTTCAAAGAATGAACACACTTTTTTAAGACTTAACATTATGTGGGCTAATCTGCGTGACTGCATCAGGGACTATGCATGTATGTATGAGGTGAAAATTGTGAACACATGTTGTCAGCAAGTTTTTTTTACTTTACACAAAATTCCTTTTGTCACTCAGAAAGCTTAATAATTGTCAAGCATACGAAAAGTATAGTGACCTTTATCGCGAAATCTTGTCTGTGTATTGAACACATTTACATCTGACAACTGGAACAGTTATAGGAAGTACTTTTTTGCGAGCGGTAGTATATTTGATAGCTCTCTACAGTGTTCTCCCTCTTACCCCTTGTGTGATCTCAGTATTACCTATAGATTCAAACATGATTTATACTTTGTAATGAAAAAAAATGTTTTAATTATTAACACATTCTTTCTTTAATTAATTGTATAGGCTTAAAAATGTGCATAGAAATGTTCAAATGCCAAGTTGCCTTGGTCACACAGAACACAAAATATGTTTGTTACTTTTAATTGTTCAACTTTAATCAATCAATATGCATTTTTGAGAATGTGTGCAAGATTTCTTTATGAGATGTATTACACAACAGGAAATGTTTTCTTTCATTAACTGGCCTAGTTGTTGGGAACAGTAATTGGACAAAGAAATTAAATTATTACATACCAGTATGTGCATTTTAGTACTTCCCAATTTTAATTCTGAGGGAAGTGCAGGTAGTAAGTTTTTGAGAGCTCTGTGAGTGTCCAGCTGGTTAAGTTACTGCTTATCCAAGGCAAGAACAGGAAAATGATGTAACCTTTATGTAATATTCTCACAGTCAGTCTTAAGTCACATATATACAATGCCTTTAATTTTAGGAATTTTGTTATCAATCAAAATGTGAGAGAAGATGGGTAGTAAAAACAAATATTTCCTGAATTACATAAACAGTGCTTTCAGTGTTGTTCCTAAGAAAGGAAGACGCATAGGCCATCCCAATATTGATTGTTGCTATGTTATTATGTATTCAATTTTATGTATTTGGGCTCCGGTATCAACATAGCCAAGGGCCAGCAATCTGCATTATTGTTATTAACATAGCAGTTTACATGTGTTTCAAGAGGAAGGTGAATTAACAAGTAAACAATAAAGTTAAAATGTATTGGGCTTCTGTTCACCATCCCCAAGCTTCGATGCTAATTATTTCAAAACTCTTACTAAAGATTAAAACCACCAAAAGAAGACAGAAAGAGAGAGAAAGAAAGAAAGAAATTATCCAGACCACTTTGTAACAGTGGATCATGTATCAATGATTATATGTTCTGAACAAGGTTGATTAAAATTATTTCAAAGTAAGAGGAAAATGAACTGGGCAGTTTTAGCTGCTGCTGAGGATGATGATTGAGACATTCAGTCTTTTTCATCATGATACGTGTAGTTTTTTGGTATCTGTGATGTTTTCTTATTATTATAATAGACATTTAGTGAGATATTTTAATTATATGAAATGAATTATTGCATGCATGCACTTCATGTTTTGTGATGTCCAGGACAGACAGTCCCATACTGCTGTGTCTTGTCTGTTGATGCAGGCAGGAGTAGTCACTGCTGTATGAAGATTTGTCTCCTTGTTTGAATGCCCATAGGCTATTGTGCAAGAAGTATATAAAGGAGCCTGATGCTAATATTTATTATTTTTAGCCTGAATAAAAGACCGCCTCTGTGGCCTCGTGGTCAGTGATCCTGGTTACAGATCCAGAGGTCCGGGTTCGATTCCCGGTGCTACCAGATTCTTTCGGAGAAGTCGTGGGTCTGGAATGGGGTCCACTCAGCCTCGTGATGATAATTGAGGAGCTATTTCAAGGAAATAGCGGCTCTGGTCTAGAAAACCGAAATTAACGGCCGTGGGGATTTGTTGCGCTGACCACGTGACATCCTCTTATCAGCAAAAGTTGGCACTAAACTTCGTTGGCAAGCGGTGGCCGCTTGTTCGGTATGGTTCACTTGTGGACAGAAATCACGGAGTTTTGTTTTTTAATTGTCACACAAAGGCAAGTTTGTCATCTGTAAGGTGACAGACAAGGATTTGGCATCATGGTTCAGACTTATGCTTCTTGTGATTTTTTGAAATGTGGGGCATCTGAAGTGCTTCAGAGAAGAAAGGTAGTTATGAAAAAAAGTCAAGAATTTTTTATCATTAGGCTATTAAAATTATTTTAAATTGAAACTTTTTTTATTTGAAAATGAACCCCTCCCCCCTTCATTTCCAGAGTCCATAACCAAAAATAATGTATTAAGACATCAGAACATTGTGTGGATCAGCAAAAAGATCATTGTCATTCTACTACGTTGTACCAAAATACGGTTAACTCAATTTAACTAGATTTTTGCTGATTGTCCAATCTTGTTATGTATTTTGTACAGACAAATTCGACACTTCTGTTTCATCCATAGAGATCCTGGCTTCATTTTCTTGCTCCTGATTACCTACAAGACTTTGGTGTCCAACCAGAAGACTGCAACCTAAGCTGTTACTGCTGTCATAGTTGACAGTTTTGTTCTGTTACACTAAGAGACATCACTTTCAAGCAGTATTGCACCTTAAGGAGACTACCATAAAATGTAGATACAGTGGCACTGGGGCAGGTTTTCTCCAAATACTTTGGTTTTCCCTGCTAATTCCTCATTCCTCCAACGGCTCCATGTTCATTAATTGAAATATATTTGACACTATATGGTCTGGATACTGACAATTATTAAATAACCAGCTTTAAAAAGAAACAAAGTATTAAATGTCTGGGAACTAGCATGTGTGAGAAGGAACTCTTAGGAAACCATGGAGCTTCTCAAGAGTTGAAAGGTATGTATTATTATTATATTTTCTTATTGCTAGTGGGGTGGGACTAAGTCCCTTGTACTGCGGCCACTTCTGGTGGAATGAAGATTGGCAGGGGAAACCAAAGTACTCTGAGAACCTGCCCCAGCGCTACTTTGTCCACCACAAATCCCACTTGACCAGACCCGGGATTGAACCCGGGCTGCCGCGATGGGAAGCCAGCGACTAACCACTTGAGCTATGGCTCGGCTGCTGATTGGTATGTAAAACCACTTCCAACGGTGATGCAATGTTTTGTCCTTTACCCATTCTGCCCATTCGTATGCTTATTTACTTACTTACTCGTGGAGCTGAACCCTTCTGGAGGAGCCACCAATTCTGTGGCTACTCAAGAATTTCCCAGCATTTTATGGAACCCGAAGGTTCATTACACACAAATAATGTAGAGAAGGCATTAAGAATGATCTTATGTGGGAAACAATATACTGTTTCCAGTATGTGTATGTCTAGATTACTAGTATGTGTTCTTCCCTGGTTGTGTTACTGATGGCAGAATACATTTGCATTTTGTTAACAAACAATCATACCATGTTTGTATTGTTCATGTAAGGAATAAGAAATATTCATTATACAGGTCATCAGATTTTTGTTGGTTGACCTAATCCTTCCTGCCGCACTAGGCCCTGGGGTTTACTCAGCCTCTGACAAAAATGAGTACCAGGAATGAATTAATTTTCCTGGGGAGTAAGGCGTGACCGGCGTGTAAGGCTGACAACCTTACCGCCATCTTTGAGCCGATTGTCTAGATCGTCTAGATAGTGTGGGACCCTCAACGTCTCACAACCCTACGGGCCTTCACGGCCTGGTACAGGGATAGCTTTACTTTTACAATTATGTATGTGATTAACTCTGTGGTGAGAGTATAAAAAATGTTCATGAAGGTGAAGGGCAATTCCTTAATATCGGTGATGGTAACTGGTCAGTAAATGTGAGAATGGAGACTTACGGTGCATATTTTTCAGAGGGTATGAAACAGTGTTCAACGTTTTCCGTGTAATATATTTGCTATTGTAAATATTGTAAGAAACAGTATATTAAAGCAACCTTCTACGACGGGAATGAAAATTTTAAACAGTTGTCAAAGTAGCGATATTTCAGTACTGTACTGTGTTGGTCAACCTGCTAGGATACAAGGTGGTGGAGCTGCGTAGTGGAATGTTTTGTTTATGTTTATTATGTTATCGTTACTTTAAGATTAATATATTTGTGTTTAAACAAATCGATGTCGTCGTTTAGGTCCTTTAAAATTTTTTATTGTTAACATAACCATTAATTCAATCAAGATGCTGTAGTAATATAAAAGAATTTAAACTGACTCTTTAGAGTTTGTAATTAAGGTTATAAGTGTAACATGGCGGATAGAGATTTTCCGAGGTAAAGATGCTTTCTTTAATAGCTGGTATCAGACAAAGACTCTAATAAAATTAGATCAGGTTCAGAGTCCGTATATAAACTTGACGTTACACAGTATATTTAGTATTGTATTGTATTGTATTGTATTTATATTTGTTCAAGAAATCCAAAAAAGGATATAGAACATGTCACAGAACTA